TTCCAGTTCGGGGGCACACAGATCCCACCTCCCCACGCAGCAGCCAGGCTGTCTTCAGCTGCTCCTCTCCGTTCTTGTCCACCAGGAGGTCGAGCGCGGCAAGACTGTCCTCATCACTCCCCGGGGAGGTGGGGGAGGGAAGGATCAGCTCTTCCTCCACCTCGCGAGCCGTGGGCGACGTGCTGGTGGGCGCCTCCTCCTCCTCCTCCTCCCAGGACTGAGACTACAACGCCGGAGTCAGCGAGGCCGGCGCTTCCGTGGGTTCCGCTTCCATGCTGGCTCTGCTGGATGCAAGCAGGAGAGGCGACCGGGCGGGCCGCGTGGGCCGGGCAAGCAGGAGAGGCGCGGGGAGGGCTCGGTGGAAGGGAGCCGGGCAGAGGCCCAGACGGCTCACGCGCGACAGGCCAAGGATCCCTGGGCAGCCGGGCTCTCCCACGGGGGAGTCGAGGGAACCCCCTCGTGTCTGGGGGCTCTACCTCCTTCTGCCGCTGGGGGGCGCGCCTTGTGGTGCGAACGCCAGGGCCGCCTTGCCCGAAACAAGCGTCGGCCCATTGAGCCCCGAGCCCCGGGAGGCCTCGCGATCTGCCGGCCGGCGGAGCAATTGGACTTTCCCGGCACCCAGATGCGGAGGAGAGGACCGGGCGAATTAGCGGGCGCAGGGGGGACAGGGGCAGCCGGGGGTGGAGGTTGAGCAGGCGTCTCACCCCCGCCCCCCGCAGCTCCTCTACCTTCCTGAGATTCCCGTCGGGTGGAAGAGCGGCGGCGGCCTGGAGGCCTGGATTCCCCGGCGGGGGGAGGAAACCTTTCCAGGGCAACAGAAACCTTGTTTTATTGGAAGAGCAGCCGCCAGCTGGGTTCCGGCGTTACTGCTCCGCTCCTCCCGCCTCTCTTCAGGCCGCCGGAACCCAGTATGCCCGCCTGACCCCTTCCGAAGTCAGCCCCTGCTGGGGCACAGACGGCGCCCACAGGAATGAGGAGGCTCGCGAGGACCAGCCCTGCCCCGCCCCCCACAGCAGCTCTGCGAAGCTTTGGGGAAAGGAGGACAGCCTGGGGAGAGCAGCAGAGACCGCCCTGAGAAGGTCCAGAGGGAGCTCCGAGGTGCTAAACTCGGCCTGGGATTCTTGGTTAGCTCCAGGATCGCATTTCCTCTTGCTCTTTCTTCCACTAAATGAAGTTGTTAGCAAGAGAGGACTAGGATAATTACCCCCCCCCCTTTATCACTCTTGCAGGCCTCTCTGATACCCTCTCTGCTCATCTGATGCAGAAAGACCTGGCCTGTATCTTCTGCCTGCCCAGAGGGTCCATAGTAAACCTCCTTCTGCAGGATCCCATATCAGTTTTCTATACTACCTGTCATCCTGCATTAATGCCTTTGATTCCTTGTTTCTACACAAATGTTGGACTTTGCATTTATCCCTGTTGAAATTAATCATCCTGATTTTTGCCCATTATTCCAGCTTTTAAAGATCCTTTGAAATCTTCATTTTGCCCTCTGTAGTATTTTGCCCTCTCCCCATTTGGTATCATGTCCAAAATTGATTACAACGTTTTCTAACTCCTAACCTAATTATAAATATGTCAAAAAGCACAAAATGGAGCCCTGTAATTCATCACTTCCTGTCAATCAGATCTGGAGCCTTTAATAAGCCCTTGTCTGGTTTGATCTCTCCACCGGCTCTATCCATGTAATGGTAGTGTAGACCAGCCACAGATTGCCTTCTTCTTATTCACCAAGGATTTCATTGATATTTCTCAAATGTTCTGCTGAAGTCAAATTACATTATGTCCACTGCATTCCCATAATCAACTAAATCAGACAGTGTGTCAAAAAATATCAGGTTGATTTGGGGTCACCCCCAAACCCTTGATGCTCCTGCTAAGCACTAAAATATGATGGGTCTGAGATGGCCCCATAAGCTCCTTTGAGACTCCTGACAACCTGCCTTGCAGACTTCAACTCACCCATGCTCTCTCTGTCTCTGTCTCTCTCTGTCTCTCTCTCCATCTCTCCATCTTTCTCTCTACCTCTCTCTGTCTCTGTCTCTGTCTCCCTTTCCATCTCTCTGTCTCTCTCTTTTCTCTCTGTCTCTCTGTCTCTCTCTCTCTCTCTCTGTCTGTCTCTGTCTCCCTCTCCCTCCATCCCTGTCTCCCTCCCCCCCTCTTGTCTCCTGGTTTCTGCTGGTGATTCTGCCCAGCTCCATCTGGAGTCTTGGGGGAGAAGACCCAGGGAAGGAGCAGCTCTGCTCTTTGCCTGGCTCAGCTGCTCAGCCTGGGGCCCTGACAGGGTAGGGTACCCTGGGTGTGTCTCATGGGGTAGAGAAGATTCTTGCCCCCATGCTGTCCATCACCTTGGGTCTTAACTTTTAATCTCTTTATTCTAGTTTCAATTCTTTTTAGCACTTTTTCATATTTATTACATTGTAAGCCACCCAGAGTTGCTGTATTAGTGAGATGGGTGACATAAAAAGTTATTAAAATAAAATAAGCTCTCAATTCTGGGGTTGTTTTTTGACATGCTAAGGTGCAGCTTTTTGCCTCTGGGCCTTTAAACAAAAATGCCACATTACTTTTTCTTGTTCCTCTAATGGCCCCACTTGCAAAATTCCTGATTGCAAATCCAATTATTATAACTGAACAGTTTCTGTCCAACCTCTTTGGCTTCTTCAGGTAAGTATCGAAATAGGTGCTAGCTAACTGTTGGGTCTAACAATGACTCTTTATCAAGCAAAGCTTAGGCCAAGTGATTAGGATGGACCAGCACTGGGTGAAGCTCATTCATGGCTCCTTTGCAAAACCCTTTCATAATTTCCTAATAGGTCAGATCCTCAGTGGATTGGCTGCAGGTCTCCAAAGTCTTCAAGACCAAAGGCTGTGTTAAGTGCAGAGCAATTGTAGAGGAGTAGTAGAGACCAGCAGAGACTCTGTACCCCAGAGTTAGCTTTGAGCCCCCCTCCAGATGGGGGTCCTACCCAGCCTCTCCTGGAAACCTGCAGACTGGCCCCCAGGGAGCTTCTGAAAGACCAGGGAGGCCGAGGCTGCTCAGGGAAACATTTTATTGGAGAAGAGCGTCTGATGGGTGAGGTTGGAAGGGTCACCCCCCCATTTCCCCCCCAAGGCAGAAACCAAGGAAGCCTTGCTCTCTTCACTCTCTCACTTGGCGCGCCGGAAGATGTCTGTGCCAACCCTACAGTGAAACAGGAGGGAGGGAAATGTCAAAATTCATGTTGGCATGATTGGTGTCCCCCCCCCAGGCTGAGCATCCCATCCCCCCACCCCATTCCCTCCTCCCACCCACTCACGTAATAATGAAAAGGGGGGGCAAAGAAATGGATGCTGTAGATTCTGGGGGGTGGCGAGGGCCAGGTAGGTCCCCAGCCACGCAATGCAGGCCACGTCTGATGAGGGGAAAGACACTGACCCAGAGCAGGCTGGGCGAAGTCTCCTGGGTCTTTGGGGGCCTCCCTTGAAGCAGCTCCCTCCAGGTGGCAGAGAAGGTGTCCTCTTTGGAGGGGAGCAGAAGAGCTGCAGGCCTTGTGCTCAGGGAAGGCACCCGGGTGGCCTCTTTGCCCCATACAAATATGGGGGCTGTGCTGGGCTACTGTTCTCTGATTTGAGTAGAGCAATTAATGCCAACTCTCCAAGTGTTGCCTGCTGTGGGCAACCCAGACTGTGTTGCCACGCAAACCACACCTGTCAGTGAGAACGACCTGGGGAAGCTCCTCAAAAGCTTTGCTGTGTTTGTTTGTGGAGTTAGTGGCAGAAAGGGAGTCTCCAGCCTCTCCCGCAGGAGCTGCTCAGCTCTGGGTGCGGAAACCATTGGGAGGCAAACCACTGGTCGTCCTTTCAAGAGCCACTTTGAGGGGGGGGAAAGAGAGAGAAAAAGAGAGGTGCCCAGGGCCCTTCCAGTTAGGGGCCACATCATTTCAGCCCCTGATTTTCCTTACCGGGTCGCCCCCCAATCCTCTGCAGCGGATTCCACCTTCTCACGCAGGAGCCAGGTTGTCTTCAGCTGCTCCTCTCCATCCCTGCCCAACAGACATTGGCCCACAAAGACGGTGATGGATTCTGAGGGAGGAATCGGCCAGAGACTCACTGGCAGGTGAAAGCTGTTGTACCAATTGGGGGGGGGGGATATATTTTCCATAAGGACCCCCGCTTACCGATGCTACCTTTAGGTTGGGAAAGTTTTATGGGCTTGAAAAACTTTGGGCAGCTCCAGCTGATGGGGGGAAGGGGGGACATTCAGTGAAATAATCTGCAAGATGTAGATCTAAGGAAGGGGAGATCCACTAGATTCCCTCCTCCCGTTCTATTTGCTTCCACACGAAATAGTGAGTGGCTGTACCAGTGAAACTCCAGTTGACGGTGAAGCCAAAGACGGGCTGGTCCCCCAGGTGCTGGACGGCCACAAGCGGGGATGGCTGGATGGGATTGTTGGAGGCCGAGACTGCCGTTTTGTAGACGCCGTTTAACACCCCCGTGTTAGTGGCGTTGTTGATCTCCATGGTGGAGTTGAGGTCATTCACCCATTTGCCGATCAGGGAGCACTAAAAAAACAAGCGGGAGGGGGGAGGAAAGCGGCTCACGGCGCTAGCCAAGCCCAGCTGTCCAACAGGTAGAGACTCTGGCTCCATTTTCTCCCGGGGATCTGAAAACACCCGCTGCTCCCACGTGCCCGACCCCCAAGGCTGCCCACGCCGGGTGGGGCTGGCAAAGGGGGCGCATCCCAAAGTCCGTCGGTCGAGGCGCCTGCCAGACCGCGTCCGGGACGGCACCCCGCGGGTGGATCGCTCTGCCAGCAGCGCAGCGAGCGAGAGCACCAGCCCCGGCGGCAGGCTGCCGAAGTCGCGGCCGAGCACGGAGGAGGACACGCTCGACCGGCCGGCCCTCGGGGACCCAGGGCCTCTGGCGCTCAGCGCGACGGCACCTGGTGCGGTCAACCCCGAGGAAGCGGCACCCTTTGCGCAGCCCACCGGCTCCCACCAGCTGCTCCTGCCGCCCACCCGAGCAGAGGACTTTCCACGGGGGAGGCTGGGACCCTCCGCCCGCCACTCCGCATCACACCTTGGCGGCTGGCTCCGAGTTTTGGGGTTCGGCAAAGGTTCCGCTACAACCGAGCAGGAAAGCGAGGAGCATCAGAGCTGTCAGGCCAATCGCCATGGTGATCTCCAGGAATCTAAAAGTGCCAGCTCCAGGAGGGACGCCCCTTATAAAGCCCCGCTCGCACCGGCTCTCCCACCCCCTTGAGTTGCCACCCCCCTGCACCACCACCACCCGCGCCTGGGAGGGGCAGGATCCCCGGCCCGGACGCTTCTGCGAAATCGCTGGCCTTCTGCTAGCGCTGAGCAGCACTTCGGCAGCAAGGGGGGGGGCACTTCTCGGGAAGCCCACCGCCGCTGACCCCACATGGGCATTCTTGCTCGGCTGGCTCTCCACCAGCGCTCCTCTCCCGCCATTGGTCCGCCAGCGCTCCATCCTCGCCCTTTTCTCCCGGCCGTTTCACGGAGGGACGCTTTTCTAGGGCTATTTGGCTTCGTGGGACATTTAAACGCGCATCCGGGCAGCCAATCCCCACGCTAAGGAGTGGGGAGCCTTTGACACAGGATACGGGGGAGCTTGCTTTGATGTACACGCAGGGAGAGGGGGGGGGAAAAGCAGTCGGGGGGGGGGCTGCCAGCCCTGCCCCCATAATGACATGGTTAATAACAACCCGATAAGGCTTCGCTGCATGGCTGCACTCACACACCCCCTTCGTCCAGGTGCCTTTGGAGAGAAAGCGAGAGAAGGGGGAGAAAGCACTGTGTGTGTGATGGAGAGAGAGATTCAAAAAAAGAGACGGGGGGGGAGAGAAAGGGGAAGCTCCCTTGTCTCCTTTCAGTTTCGGGACCAGCTCGCCCTCCCCCCCCCCTTTCGCCCAACGTGTCGCAGGACCAGATTCAAATTTCTCGCTTCTTCACCGCGAGGCGAAATACTTGCTTTTCCTCACCTCTCGCATCTCCCCCACTGCCGAAGTTTTTGGGGTGCGAAGGCCGTAGAGTTTGTGGTTCCGTGCGGGTGCGGGTGCAGGTGGGTGTGGGTGTAAATCACCTGCGGGGCTGTTGAGAGAGCCGGTTTGGAGGGGGGAGGGTTAGGGCAGGGGTCTTCAGACTCGGCCCTTTTATGACTCATGGACTTCAACTCCCAGAATTCCTCAGCCAGCGTGCCTGGCTGAGGAATTCTGGGAATTGAAGTCCATGAGTCATAAAAGGGCCGAGTTTGAAGACCCCTGGGTTAGGGTCTAACCCTTCACTCAAAACTAGCCCGTCTTTTTTTTACCATCTCTCTTGCCTCCGCCTGATTGCAGATTCTCCCCTTAAAGACCTGCCGTTCGAAGGAATTGGGAATCTGCAGCCATTGTTTCAACGTTGCTGTTTCTCATTAATATTTGGAAGTAAATATTCGCCTGGCAGGATTTTGCAGCCCTGCAGCGAAGCCTGATCGGTTCGCTATTAACCTTGTCGGTATGGCGCGCGGTGTGGGGGGCGGGGGGGCTGGCAATTTCTCCGAAAAAGCCCAGAGCGAGCCAAAAACAGAATGCAAAGCGCCCCCCTGAAGAAAGTTGGCCTAGGAAGCGGGGGGGGGGGGTGAGAAAGCGGAGGTATTCCCTCCCCATCAGGTGTGTCGGTTGAGGGTCTCAGCCTCCCCTCCTCTTAACGTCGGAATCCGCAGCAGCCTCGCTTTAAAGGCTTTTTTCCTTTCGTTTGACCCTCTTCTCTCGCTTGCTCAAAACGTCCCAGGAATCGGCTCCTTCCTATTTCTCACCCTCAACCCTCCAATGTAGAAAGATCTCCCCATTGCTCGCCGAGCAGGCACCCAATGATCCTTGAGTGGCCACTTCTCCTGGGCCTTGTTCCAGGAGCCACCAAGAACACCAGACTGCTGGTTCCCCCCCCTGTCCCCCCATCTTGCCTTTGTCCTCTGGCCAGGTTCTCCTGGGGCAGGCTGGGCAGAGGGAGCAGGGCAGGAAGGTGAGGAAACCAGCCATCTCCCTCCCTCCCTCGGCCTTCTCTTCTTTCCGCCAAACATGCCTGGTTCTGGATCTCTGAGGATTTAGCCAAGCCCCCCTGCCCCTCCTCATCTCCTTGGCACTCTGGGTTCCTTCCTATTTCTCACCCTCAACCCCAATTTTTCTTTTCAGACTGGTCCCTGGAGCCAGAAAGGTTGGGGACGGACCGACCGCTGTGCAAGTGGGCATCTCTAAACACCCAGAGGCTAATCATACAAGGCCAAATCATGCACTACAAAGGTTGTTTGGAAGTGGGAGAAGCTTTGAAGGTAATTTACCAGATTCCCTGCATGTATTGCCCCTGTGACTATGTAGGACAGATGGGGAGGAAGCTAACCACCAGATTGCAAGAAGAGGGGCGAGTAGTTAAATGAGGAGACCTGAACTCATTGGTAGCCTCACATGGCAACGAACAAGGAGATGCATTCCGTTTCACAGCTGCCACGATTGTTGGCCACGCAGGAACAAAAATAGCCAGATAAATTATTGAAGCTTGGGAAACGGGCCTCTTGTCAGTGAATAGGAGTGCTGATTTGCCACTGGCCTACCAGCGAGGAGTCACAAGGAAACAGTGACTTAATAACAAGCCACCAAGACCCTAATTAATAACTAAAAGCTACACACAACCAGCAACCATATACATACAATGCATAGAACAGCCCAGGGCACATATTCTGGAGAGAGAGTTCTCCGGGGATGGGCTCCAGCATGAGCCTGAAAGCTTGGAAGAATCAGCTTTTGGTCCCAGTGACCGACTCAGATTGGGCCCTGCAACATTATCCTGGGATACCTATATTTGCCTTCGTTCACGATAAAATGTGTTGCTTCCTATCTGTCAAGAACCATGGTGGTGGCACAGGGGTTAGAATGCAGTATTGCAGGCTCTCTGCTGACTGCCAGCAGTTTGATCCTGCCAGCAGTTTGATCCTGACCGGCTCAAGGTTGATTCAGTCTTCCATCCTTCCGAGGTCAAGAAAAATTAGGGTAAAATTGTTGGGGGCAATATGCTGACTCCGTAAACCACTTAGAGAAGACTGTAAAGCACCATGAAGCTGTATATAAATCTAAGGGCTATTGCTATTCCTTCAATTACATCTCTCAGAAAAAGTCTATCCATAAAAGCAGACATCATTGGAAGATAGTATTTCTATTTGGCTTGATCTAGGATGCTCACAGTTGCCCAGATCATCTGTACAACATCTTCCAACAAAATGGACACCCACACAACTTTTATCAAAAAGTGCCTGACCACTCAACCTACTGTAATATAGTACAACCAACACAGGTTGTGAAAAGAATAACTTCGCCATGTCAAAAACATCTCAGAAAGCACCAAATAAGACTATTACCACCTCATGGAATCATACAAACCAAGAAAAGCCCTCCCAGCTCAAAGCAGGGCTGCAGGGAGCCCCCCCCCAGCTCACTCTGCTCCTTGACCCTGGCCCTAGGTGGAGACCATTGGTGATGCCTACATGGTGGTGTCCGGCCTGCCTGTTTGAAATGGCAAGCTCCATGCCCACGAGATCGAGATCATCTGCATGGCCCACGCACTCCTGGAAGCTGTGAAGACCTTTCGCATCCGGCACCCTCCTAGTGGGCAGTTGCACTTGTGCATCGGGGGTCCACTCTGGTGAGTGAGGTGGGCAAGCACGGTCTACGTTTCCTGAGCGTGCACAAAGCACCAGCGGTTCAGCCAGTGTGTGCAGGAGTGGTGGGCCTCAAGATGCCATGCTACTGCCTCTTTGGGGACACGGTCAACACGGCTTCACGTATGGAGTCCAATGGCGAGGGTGAGATACCAGCCCCCCATACCCTCTTTCTGTAGGGCCCGTGTATCCTTACCTCCCCTCCCTTGGAGCCTGCTACTGGTGCTTCTCCCCACCTGGCTGTCTTCCCAACCTCCCCCCCCCAGCTTCCTTGTGAACTTCCATTCCCCTTCAGTAGATGCTCCAGTGGGATGCAATCCAGCCCAGCTGCGCCCCATTTCTGGGAGGCTGAGGGGACTGAGACGTTGCTTCTCCTTGAGGGCCTCCTGAACGCAAGAGGGGTCCCATCAGGAACACTTACAAGCTTCACTAGTTTAATCAACTTTATTGTGGTACTCTGTAATTGCTGTGGACCGCAAGTCTCCCAAGTATGCCACTGGGCCCCTTTGGCAGGGGATCCTGGGGGGCGCTCACTCTCCTGCCCCTGTTCCTTCCAGCCTTGAAGATCCACATCTCTGCCGCCACCAAGGAGATCCTGGATGAGTTTGGCTGCTTTCTGCTGGAGCTCCGGGGGGACGTAGAGTTGAAGGTGGGCATGGGAAGGAACAGGCCGGGCCCTGCATCAGGGGGGGAGGGGGGAAGAGGATGGAGTGCAAAGTGGAGGTGCGCCTCTCACTTTCACTGCTCTGGGGGGGCTGCATTGCAAGAAAGGGGGCAAGAGCCCTTCACCTGTCTGCTTTCTGGCAGGGCAAAGGGAAGATGAGGACCTATTGGCTGCTGGGTGAAGAGAAGACGGCCGTCATCTGAGGGGGGCCCTCCCTCTGCAGGGACCCGGCAGCAGCATCTGCTCCCATGAACTTGCGGGGG